GATACAATGTAGACTTTGACCGAGATAATGAGAGGGTTCGAGGGATTAAGGTTTCTTAATTTATTATGCAGGTATAGGCATTGTTTCTCTCAGGATTAAGGTAGACGACGGTGCAAATTTTTGTACAAACATTAGGATACAAAGTAAATTAGCTCTAATCGAATGAGTAAAAATATATTTTCGAATAAACATGTATTGAATTTACTAATTACTATTACTCCTTCTAAAATTTATCAGGCATTTAGAACTATTGTCCCCGTAACTATAATTTGTTTATGCACTGCTAGTACTCGTAAGTGCTAAGTTCTGCTTACTTCAAAGGCACTGTTTTAGGCGTAAGTTATCATATTCTGTGCTAACCCGAACATAAATTACTTACCTTATACATAAAAAAACAGGTTACATAAGTTATTAGGCAACGGGCGGCCTTATCGCTAACAAGCAAATTCCAGGCAACCCTAGTCTGGATAGAAATCTACAGAGGGTAAAGCACAAGAAGTGCATAAATAATTAACAAATAATAACAAGTAACACTTACTATAACTTAAATATAAAAGAATACTTTATTGTGCTGTCGAAGATTGAATTTATATTTGAGATTAGAGGAGATATTCCGTTGCTTGTGTACGCTCAACAAAATGTAAAATTCGTAACCACGTGTATTATTTTTTTGATATTTGACCCTAAGCAAGATAGCAGGTAGGCGCTCATCAGTAGGCCTTTAACAGGCTTTCAGTGTCGTTTTCCTATGAAAACAATAGATAGCTAAATGACGTGGTGTTATGTCAGTATCGCAAGAGTGCCGCAAATTTAAAGAGTGTCACGATTTTTTTATATGAATGAAACCATTTCATCAAACTGGAAGTCGGGTTCTAGTAGAACATTCCACCGACCATCTCACGTCATCTCTTCCGTGTAATACATTAAAATTGAAGTTCGTAACAGGAATTCAATCAAAAAGCGTCATTAAACATTGATATGTTCCAACTCGTACCATGTATTGTCCAGTTACAAAATGATGGCGCCATTGTTTCGCCAATATGCAACAATGCCTTTTGATGAACGTTTTAGTGTTGATAACCTAATTCCTACCTATTTCTGCTCAGCACTCGTGATTTACAGTTTTTTTTTATATCTGATCTAGCACTCGTTATGGAAACTAGGCTTTTTAGGTTTAAAGACATTTATTCTCACAACAGACAATAGTCATTTGAGAACTTACATACTAAAGATGCAATTTATCACGTCGTGAGTCATTGAAGGGCTTCAAGGATGAATAAGCGAAGTAGAATATTTATTTACTATTTGCTTCAAAATTGTATCCTCTACAAAATGAATACAGAATTTTAATTAGGTTTAAGTCTCTCGGAGTTGCTTCACCGGGTTAAATAGCTCGGGGATATATTTAAGTAAAACACTAAACTTTCTATTCGACGGAGCTTAAACTAGATTAATCAAATTAATTGATAGGAGATGCTCATCCGTATGCAGTGTAAAACTCAATTCATGACTAGACTATAGTCTGTAGTCTGAACTCATAGTCGTGATTATTGCACTATCTGTGCTGTTAATCTGTATCTATACTAATTTTATAAAAAGCAGATATGAGCAGTGGTGGCTTGAGTTTAGGTAACTCTGAGGTTGTTCGTTCGAATCAGGGCCGCGCCGATCCCCCGGCAGCGCCTGTGTGCTGAAACCCATGAAGCGCCTCCTTTTTCTATAGGGGTCAAACGAGCCTTAGGGACGGAAAAAAATGGCAGTCATTGAATCTCATAGACATTTTTAGGGTTGTTGAGGCCTTTGAGGCACTCCTTCTATATTTCGGCCTATTTTTAAGAATCTTCAAGTTTCAATGTATTTTTTAATTTTGACTGAAGTTTTCTTTTGTTTAATCCACTTAAATAGGTAAAACGTCCGATGGCCAATTGCCGTGAAAAAGAAAACGTGAATTAAATTGTTACATAGTTTATTTATGATGTTATTTTTTATCTAACCGTTTTTAAGGTCAGATTTATGACATATCTTTGTAATAAATCCCATCTTTTAGTAAACGAAAATATTTATATAGTTCTTGCACAATATTAAAAAACGCAGTCGTGTAACATGAGATGTGCAGCGTCATTTATTATTAAATGTTAAACTATGGCTGGCGCACGTGACCACAAAAAGTGCGGAGATTTACTCGTACATCCCGCAATATTCTTACCGCGCAGATTTGAGCCATTATCATAGCCTTGCCCCTTAAGTCTTTTGTCCAAATTAATTTCGTTTAGTTTTTCTATTATAAATGACGTTACCCAGCCAGTTGTATCTACGATTGAGCAGAAAGTGCTATTATAAATTGGAAAAGCTAGGAAATGCTCTCTTATTCTTAACTTTCTAGTTTACATGTTAAAGTTGACAAATCTTATTATCATACTAATTTGCTCTTCGTGTTGAAACGTCAGTAGTACAATCCAGTATTATTGAAAAATATTTATTAATTCGACATAAATTTAAAATAAAATGTTGAATTTGGTTACCGAGTTTAAAAAATAGTTCATTTTGGATTTTATCAAGGTATGTCGGCATATTATTGAAATCATAAGACATAAACACACTCAAAAACTCAGGCGGTCACCAGCGCTGTTCTTTTGATTCGCTCAAGCTCTGAGTAATTAATGTAAACTAAAACCTAAAGCGTAAAATGAAACTTCAAACGTACGTAAGAATATTGTAGTATAGTATAAATAATTTCGGTGGCGGCGCCCTTGCCTATTGTATCAGCGCCTGTGTTTAGGTAACCTTCGCACACATGGGCGGGTCGGCCTGTTCGAATCACGGTGATGTAACAATGAATTCTTTCCATGTATGCAATTAACACTCGCTTGTATGTTGAAGGAAAATAAGAGAAAACCGGCAAACCTTAGATTTAAAAATCTACGTCATCAAGTACATATGGCTGATCTACAATTTGTCTATTAAGAAAAATAAATTGGTCACGTAATATCTACTTAAATCTGAAGCTAAGACCGTATTGTAGCGCCAATTTTAATTTTTAATTTTATAAAGAGTTTTTATTTGAACGAAATACTCTTTGATTTTTTCGATTTGAAATTAATTTAGGAAAATTGCTCAATTATCGCCGAAGGATTTAGAGTTATAATCCTTATCCAACAAATTCGAGACCTTGACATTGGTCAAAATCGCACAGTTATACATATTATTTATTAATACATGACATTGCAATGTTGAAAGTATATTGTTTGAAACTGTGCACAAGTGTTTGTGTCTACAGAACGGTGCAACACCGTTACGAAATTAGACTGGAGTAATAAGAAGCTCATGGTCAAAATAATACTTAAGGATATTCTCCATTAGTTATATAAATAGTGAACAGCTAATTAAAGATTTAAGTTGGCACATGTTAGATAGTACCGGTGACCCCAGAGCTGGTGCTTTCCTCGCTCAACGAATAAGTATCGCAATACACCGAGGAAATGTTGCCTGCGTTAAAGGTACACTGCCACAGGGACCAAACTTTTTAAATTTGATTTAATTTTCTTTTCATTAATTTTCATTACTCTTAATATGTGTATGTGATTTTTATGTATTATATTTGGTATAATACTAGTTATTTAATTTTAAAAATAAAAATAATTAACTGAATCGTTTTACCAACTGTTGAGCTTAGAGGTAAAATGTGCCATTAGGTAAATATGACATCTTCTTTAAAAGGAATAAATAAATTTCGTTTCATAGCGCTGAATTGGATGCCCTTTTACAGATATAATAAAATGCAACTAAGTAGAATTTATGCTAGCGGTATACGCCTTTAATATAATTCCCTTGAAAGTGCTTTTTAGATAAAGTTAAAAAAAATAGTTTACGTAAAAGAATAGTAATGGTAAATGTCCATGCAAAATGGAAAACTTCAGTATCTTTCGAAAAGTATTCGTGAGGTAAATTTGACGTATGAAAGTCTGACATGAAATAGTAATAAACTATCGTAAGAAAAGTTTTGTTAAGGGCACTGGAGTATTATTTTTATATTATCTAAATATTTATTTGAAAAAAAAAATAAAAGGCGTCCAATCCCGTACTTGACCCACAAAGGGACTTTTAGCCTCATTTCTACGCTTAGAAAACAATTTTATAAAAATAAATGGCTGTTCGTTTGTCTCGCCAACACTCGAGAATGGCTGAACCAATTTCGTTAATTATGATCTTGAGATACTCGCGGATGTTAAGGGAAGGTTTAAACAGTGGAAAATACGTAAGAAAAAAAACTAAAAACGACAATTGAATTTTCCAATAAAAACTGTTCCTAGCTGATGATTTGGGGTCTTTTCTAGAAACAAAAAAATTGTCACTTAGTTGGCATGCCTTAAGAAATTTGTTTCACAGTTGTAGTAGGTCCGATCTCTTAAGTCTGTTTTAAGTTTTGACACATTGGTAATATATAAAAATTCCTTACATAAATAGAATTTGCAAAGAACATATCAATTTACAATCGATTAGCCTACTTCTGTATCTACTCGAGTTGCCGAGAGGAAACTGTCACAGCGACGCCGATAAATGATCACTAGGAAATTATGTTAAATATCTAAGTGAAATTGCAATCCAAATTTAATTTAATTTTAAGTTCCCTTAATTTTTACAGGTAGCACAACGAATCTCTTCATATCTAAATGTTAAAAATCCTTCTTTCAACATGAATTTTACAGAAAAAACAATTAAAAAAAAAGAAATCAATTTGTTTAGCCTATATGAAAATAATTTTTTTATTTATTTATTTTATTTTTAAAGAACAGTGGGCAAACGGGCAGGAGGCTCACCTGATGTTAAGTGATACCGCCCCGCCACCCATGGACACTCTCAATTCCAGAGGGCTCGCGAGTGCGTTGTCGCCCTTTAAAATTTTTATATTTGTGTAGCCAGTGTCTAATTTTTTTAGTATATTATGTCTTTTGCATGTCCTTAACCAAATTTACAAGTAAAGTTTTGATGTAAATAGGAACTCACCTGAAACTACTGCAGGGGTGTATAACCCAATGGCCAGCCGCCTTCTGCCTGATCCGCTCCTTCATCAGCGCTTTCTTGGAGCCAAAGAGTTTCATGGCTAGTTTGTTGTCGGTGGGCTGAAAGAGCGCCTGTAGCTGATTCCGAAGGAAGCCCTGTTTGGCGTCCGAGGCTGGGGGGGCTGGCTCCACGGGTGTGCCGTATAAAGACACATCGTCCAGACCACCGAAATGGACCTTGCCGGTGCCGCTGCCGTGTTTCAGCGACATATCGGCGTCGCCTGGAACAAAATGCTTCGTTTAATTGAGCGAATGTATATGGGTCAAAATCACCGAGGTGACGAATTTGGAAATGGAAACTTTTGTAAAAAATATTACGTCATGGAAAACTAAAAAATAATTTACAATATAAATATAACTATCAATAATTGCTCTCTAAAAGAAGCGCTCAAAATATTCACATTTTAATTAATTATTCAGGATTTCACAGAGACTGGGTGTATTATAGCATCATTCAGGGAACGTATTTCAAAACATAAATATTTTTGTTAAATATATTAATTTGAGAAAGCTTAATTAGGAAAAATGGTACTTAAATAATTAAATATATATTTAAATCTATAGTCCACATTTTCTTATTTTTCTCATGTATAAGCAAAAACAGAGATTAATTGGAGCATCTGATCTCTTTGCCTAAGTCTTTAAAGATGATAGTAGGAAAGTAAAGTTACAACGGGATAAGGGACATATATTTTTGAGTTTATTCTAATATCATGTTTGCCCACATATTACAGAATATATTTGACTGAGTGGCAAACATGACCCTATGATAGTGCTCATTAAGAAACGGAAACAGTCTGAATTTTTAAGAAGGTTATGTTAACGGCTGTCTCGTATACGGTCACAAGAAATAATTTAAGAAAAAAATAAGGTTAAAAATAATCTTCAGATATGTTGTTTTTTAAGAACAACATTTAAATTAGGCTATAAAATACATCATTTTCAATTATTATTATCCATGTTTTACTTATTTATTGAAGTTTACCACATCATACATAATACTATCTCTCCTGTATATGTTACAATCAAGATATGTGAATTTTGGTAAACATAAATGTTACAAAAAATAAAAAACGTGTGGCACTCTGGGACTGCCGCGGTAAAGCTATGCATTTTTTATCAACTTATGCAATTATAATTATTTATTTATTTTCTATTTATGCAGTATTTTTTGAAGTGAAAACTTCTTTAGCGGCGTTGTACACTTTTTTGGAATGGGTAAAAAATGTTAAACTCGCGTCAGGACACGTGACCTGATCGAAAATTCGTAAGACGGATGGGGAGTAGACAGCTGGCGCGGCGTATTTAATGTAATATAAATTGTCATGTTTTTGTACGATAGCGCAATAAATAAATATTTTATTCTACCACATAAATGATATTACTTTTATACTGATAATTAAAGCAATTCGTGCAAAATTATTCCCTAACCATTGCAAAATATCAAAAATGCACAACGTTAATATTCAAGTTTTCACTTCTGTCGGCACTCCTGGAGTGCAACCCGTTGTTTTTTTCTTTCCTATCCTAGAAATTTTGGTTAAGAAATAAAAAATGTTGGTAAAGCAAAACAGCGGATTAGGTATGAGATAGGCACTTAACAATGCTTTCTTTAAAATTGATCAGCCCACTACCGAATATATCCAGCTTCGGATAAGTACTATATATATATATATATCATTATTTTTGCATCTGTTGTGTTTAACAGATGTGAGTTATAATGAAGTAGTAGATTCAAATCGCAGCCCACTCGATTACATCTTGGTGACGTCATAACCGCTTGGAACGAGCTTAACAAGCTCATAATGCTCTTTGCCAACTGAAGTACATTGTAAACTATCTTAGAAATATTTGGTAGCTGGATGATGCTATTGTAGTCCAAACTTACCATTAATTAATGAAATTACTTTTATGGCAATTGTATGATTCCACAGGCTTCCAAGTAAGAAATAAATTTGTATAAATCAATTTTATATTTAGTAAAATTGATAACACTGATATAATGGAGGACGTTTTGCTTCAAGTATAACTTTGAATTGCTATTGTTTGTAAGCCAAATAGAATAAAACAATTGAAGGTAAAAAATTGAATACCGCCTTTGACAAAATGTATTAATCCGTAAAATGACGAAATGAATGACGTACATATTACGGATCAATACAAGTTCGTATATTCATTTTCAAAGCTTCATAGCTATTATGAAAATAATAGTACGATAATCTTCTAACAAACTTCAGTTTATATCATGGCTTAAGCAAGCAACGCTCTCTAACTTCTTGTGTTGAAGCCCCGGCTGTAAACTAACGGCCTCGCTCAAACGGTGAGGGAAAACATGGTAAGGAAACCTTGCCTTAGACACAAAATAAGGCGTGTGTCAAGCATAAGGCTGATAACCTACTTGCCCATAAAAAAACAGATCAAACAGATACAAAAATTTGAGGCCACACAAAAGCTATAGGGCTGCATTTTTTAAAATAATATAGTAAAAACCGTTTACGATGACATCGTTTAGAACATACCGGTTATATTGACCAAAATCAAAGGTCCCGGCTGAATTCTATGTATTCGGTTCTTAATGTCATCGGCTGTTACGACTATCGGGTTTTACGACAAAATATGAGTAGTCCCTTCGATGTCGTTATAATTTATATTGACTGTATTTTAATTATTAATAGCTTTTAAAACTAACCACCACCGTATCTAATATATAAAATTCTCGTGTCGCGGTGTTTGTAGTTAAACTCCTCCGAAACGGCTGGACCGATTCTCATGAAATTTTGTGTGCATATTGGGTATGTCTGAGAATCGGACAACATCTATTTTTCATCCCCCTAAATGTTAAGGGTAGTCCAGTCCACCCCTAATTTTTTTTTTTAATATTTAGATAAAAAAATTTTTTTATGATACAACATTAAAAAATACATACAACCCCTAATTTTCACCCCTCTACGATCAACCCCTATTTTTTATTATAAATGATATACATACATGGCAAAACGACGTTTGCCCGGTCAGCTAGTAATGATATAATTTTATACTGTAAAGGTTGAAGTATGCCAGATGAAGATTATTTTGAATTTAGGTCAATGGGTATCATGAGTATTTATAATTTAAATAAAATACATTAAATCGCTCGTAAAATTTTGAAATTATTTTTAGCGCTCTCTCGTGACCACCAGTTAAAAGGTGTGTGAAACTTCATTACTATTTATTTATATTTTTTGGTACTTCTACAGCTAACATAAATTTTATATGTATAATAGAATATTGCCAAAAGTAAAACATAAAGACTCGAAAAATAATATAAAATAGACAAAATATTCTATAAACTGGGTGGTGTTCTGTGATGGTGTGTATATGAGTGAGGATATTTAAATATTATTGAGTGTTGTTTTTTTTCCGTCAAACCAAACCACGAACATATAAACTCAACACATTAATAAATACGAGGCACATTAACCACAGATTATAAATCTGAAGTATTTGTTTGAAGTAGCTACTGGCTGGCTAGTTAAAAAAAATTACGCAAACACAATTTAAAAAGTATTTAAGATTATCGCAGGACACAGCTAATATAAGGTTTCGCTTTTAAAGATCACATAATATGATAATAGATGATACAGTGATCCAAAGGGATTTACAGTCAGTGATTCTATGAATGTTAACAAAGTCTTTATGGATGGTTGGAATCAATTGATAAGATCTGGTTCCCTTTAGTATGCAATGATTGAATTAATGTACCAAAGACGTATCAAATGAATGCAATGTTCTACAATGTTTGGTTAAGGCAATGTTCGGTAAAATTATTTTTTGTTTTTTGAACTAAATACCAGGGAATATGTGTTAAAAATACATATAAATGTATAAAAGTTTCTGGTTTTCTCTATTGTTTTTGTAATGGGTGTATAACAATGCCTTGCAAATATTATTTTGCTTTTTTGTCTACGATAGTCCGAACTCAACATATTCTTCTTTAAACCAGCACTACGCCATAGTATATATTTCAGAAAATTTAGAAGCGGTAAATCCTTCCAAAATGCAATAAAGGTAAAAAAAATTATTAACGTTTTTAATTAGTCTGTGGAGTATGGGTTCTACGGCTTAAGCTTACGAATGCATGGCGCGAATTTTGTACGAAATATTGTTTTGACAACGATTGATTGCATATTTTGTAAATACAATTTGAAAAAGCAGAGTAGTCGTTCGAATCTTTTGCTGAGTGGACGTGTGCACGGAGTCATTGCTAAGTTAATTTATTTATTGTCGTTTGGAACTCGGACTTATTAGCTGGTTACTACGGCTCAAATGGTTTACAATTAGCTTTTTGTTTTTGTGCTGTTTTGCTTATTACACCAAGGACAAAAAAATCGCGAGTGTAGTGCACAGCGGCCCCTCACCACCTCGAGGGAAGGAAACAGAAACTATTTTTTAGCCTGCTTACACCAATAGGCAAGTATAGTTTAGTAACGAGTCAACACGCACATATTTTATAATGAGTGTTTTGCGTTCACCAACACATGCAAGTGGCGGTTCACAACCGGACTTGTCAAAGTTGCGTAGTATGGAAGCGGACTATATAACAAATCGCAAACGAAAACAACCACTTGATCATGAATGCAAGTGTTTAAACGAAATTAAGTCTGTACGTTCCGAATTGTCCCACATAATATCACTCTTAGAGAAAAATAATGAATCAAATGAGCAAATCATGAACAAAATGCAGAACAGTATTGCTGAGGTAAAAAATCAGATTACGGAAATTAGATCATCAAATGAGCAAACAAGAATAATAATTCATGAAAATATTTCGGAAATAAAATCTCAAATAAATGAAATAAAAGGATCTTCATCTAGTATTAACAAAGAACATACTGAAATTAAAAAACAAATGAGTCAATTAGAGAAGAAACTTATTTTTAGGAGAAAATAAAATCAATACTTTAGAAACCAGTGTGAATAAAATGAGTCTTACTGAACCCCAGACATCTTCAAAGCTTATCCAACCAATGTTTAGCGAAGAATTGATTCAAGAAGTAAACGAACGAAATAAAAGAAAGAAAAACATCATTATGGTTGGGCTACCAGAACAAAATACCAATAATTTAAGAGAAAATATGCTTAAAGACGAAACCGATATATTTAATATATTCCGAGCACTTACAGAAGATGTTCCGAAACCGATAAAAATTATTAGGTTAGGCAAATATAAT